TCTAAAGATACTGGGACAAATTGACGAAAAACACCCAAAACAGCCCAATTTTAGTGCATGTCCTCTGCAGAGTGCTGTTTTTCACCCTCTTCAGCTTTTTGTGCCATCGAGATAGCAAATATCAACAGCTGTCATTGTTCCAACAGACTTTACACCATGGGACAAAGAAGTCATTTTTCACTGGACTCCAAATGTACAATTTGCCTCTCTTCCTGACCACTGTCTTAGAATAATGCACTGGCAGTCTCTTTGGAAATATTATAACTAAATTATAATCCACAATATCAATTAGTAGGATACTTAAGAGCTTCTCTGAATAACAGCAGATTGATGTTTCAATTACCCTATTTCAGCTTCTCATTCAGTTTTGTTATAAAAAGGACAGATATGCAACCAGAGGCCATGTTCACAAATCATCCATATTTTGCTTCATTCCAAAGTTTGATTGACACTTTAGTTCCCTTGGACTCGAACTTTCATTTTGGGCTGTTTCAAATGTCTGAATGGCCAGCACTGGGAAAAAGTAATAGCACTTAGACTTATATACCGCTTCACAGTGCTTTACAGCCCTCTCTAAGCGGTTTACAGAGTCAGCACATTGCCCCCAACCATCTGGGTCCTCATTTTACCGACCTTGGAAGGATGGAAGGCTGAGTCAACCTTGAGCCAGTCAGAATCGAACTGCTGAACTGCTGGCAGCCAGCAATCAGCAGTACTGCAGTACTGCATTCTAACCACTGCACCACCAGGGCTCCAAGACACATCTTTTGGAATTGTCCCCTTACTGAGTCTTTCCCTTACTTAAAGATCAGGACATTTGAGTAGCTTCAACCCATGACCTGCATCTGACCAGTCTTTCCCTCCAGACTGCTACTTAATTGTTGTTGGATCTGGAAAGGATCTTGAACATCTTCTAATCTAACTCTCTTCCTGGTGCAGGAATCCTCCTATCGAATGCAGTTCAATCTTTCCTTGAAAACTCCCAGCGATGAAGTATCCACAACTCCAAGGAGACAGGTTACTCCACTGCTTAACAGATCTCACAGTCAGGAAATTCCTCCTTATTTCAAATTTGGATATCTCTCACTGTAAAAGCCTCTGCCTACTGGTTCTTATCCTACCCTCAGTTGCTCTGGATAATAAATCCACATCTTTTTTCCTTTAAAATAGCTGTTTGTATTGGAAGACTGGTATCATAGCCTTCTTTTCTTTAGGCTAAACATACCCAAGTCCCTTTCAGGATATTTATCAAAGATTCAAGAGTCTGAGTAGACAGCATTTAGCTTCTGAAGCCATTCTACCTAGCAGAGGCTAATTCATTTTATAGCTCCTAAGAGATGAACTTGCAAGTACTGTTTCTGGTGGTGTGGCCAATTAATTAACATAATCTATAGTTGTACATTCTATAGCAGTTTTAATAAAGACTCACTAATCAGGCTCAGCCCTGATTTAAGCATGTCATAAGCTAAATCAAAAAAAAAAACTCCCACACCCTCCAAACAAACATGTTTTACAAATTACAACATGAGAATTCAGACAATACTCTAAACCAGGGGTGTCAAACTGCCCATGGGCTGGATGTGTCATTGTGAAACTGCGCCCACCCCATTGCCGGTAATGGCAAAAAAGTTGTGATATGTCGTGACACGTCATGTGATGTTGCGAGTTTGACACCGCTGCTCTAAACCAAAATGAAATAACCCACCTTAGTGTGTGTGTGAAGTGATTTTAATGTTTTTTTTAATGCTTTAATGTCTTTATGCTGTAAGCCTCCCAGAGTCATTGGAAATGAGATGGGCAGCAAATAAATTTAGATAAATAAATAAATAAATCATATCAAAAAGACTCCGCAGAAATCCCATTACATGCATATAGTACAATCTTACATGTATAAAAGAAGAAAGTTGGATTGAGTAAAATAGGGCTTCCTGTCAAATCAGATGCTGAAGAATCGAAACCTTAAGTAGCATTTCACAGGAGTTAAGCTGTGGACTGAAGTCCTGACTAATTTTAATGATTATTCCAAAGTTCCAGCTATTGATTTGGAAGAATATTTCAATCATTTTAACTGGAGACATAATTTAAGCTAAGGTCCAAAAGAATTCTGGCTTCAAAATTTAAAAAAATATTTATAAGTCTCAATGAACAAAGAGAGAGTTTATTCTGAAAACAGAAAAAAATACATTAAAAACACAGTTAGTTTGCAACTTATCATCATCAGCAAAATGTTTGTGCACAATTAATAAATGTGTATGATTCATGCGTTTAAATGAATTGACACAACTTAAATTGTAATTGTGTGCATTAACTCAAGAACTCTGTTTCTTCCAGTTCTTTGATCATATTAAGTGCTCCAATCAGGGAAGGCATATAAAAACCAGCAGAGCTTTGATCACACAGTTGTGGCCACCATCTTAATTTTTTCTTTTTAACCATACCCGGAAGACACTCCTGGGCTGTATATGCACATATAATATGTAAGCACGGAAAATTTATTTGAACCATCAGCAGAATGAAACAGAAGCAAGCACAATCATTCTATTTTCTCCTTCTTTACCTGTTTAGTGAAAGAATACAAATATCTTATGTAAAGAACAATTAAGAATGAACATGCCCAGAATGTCCCTCCATTCCCTACTACCATCATCAAACAGTTAGAAAATGTTTGGCTCCAATGGCAAGGGTTTGGCTGGGCTCAATTGCAAGAAAATAAAATAGCCTCTCCTAAATAGAACCTACATTTTGTATCCAAGGCATTGCTGCACCGTAAGCACTTTTTTTTGGTACACGTAATGGTTGTTCTTGGTCACACACTAATGAAAAAAAAAGGTTGCAAAACTGTACTGAACATCTGACCTTTATCCCCACAGCTGACAACCAACTGTCATCAAAAGATAGCAAAGGAACACCAGCTAAAACCCACCTATTTTGCTTGTTTTTTTTTTAAAGTCACGTTATTTAGATTTTTGACCGATATACTTATTTTCTGTCTGAAAATAACTGTGTTTGTACAACATGCTACCTTGCTAACCTTTACTTAACTGCATCATAATTTGAATTAACAAGTTGACTGGGTTCAGACAAGACACTGATCCATAAACTAGTCCTTATTTATTTCACTGTTATTATTTATTAAGTTTGTTATTTTATGTTGAATGAATCCAGAAAATGTGCAAAACCAGAAAGAGTTATGATACTATTATACAGGACACCTATAGCTCCCCCCAAAAAGAGGGAGTCAAGCTATTCTTCAAAGCACCTTACAATTAGAACAATTAATCAGTGGAACAACCTGCCTCCAGAAGCTGTGAATGCTCCAACATTGGAAGTTTTAAAGAAGAGACTGGACAACTATTTGTCTGAGCAGCGGGTTGGACTAGAAGACCTCCAAGGTCCCTTCTAACTTATTATTACTATTACTATTATTATTATTATTATTCATCACATTATTATTCAGACTGGATTTGGCATTTTTGTCTACCTATCGCATCCTTACCAAGGACCTGGGATAGGCATATGTGGATGTTTGAATTGATGTATTACAGATATTGTTGCAGGATGGAAGCTGTTCCTAATAAGGCTGCCTTTTGCAATTGACTAATGGTGCATTTCTCAATGCCAATGGTGTCCAAGTGGTGCTCCAGTTGTTTGGGATTGCACCCAAAGCGCCTATTATTATTGGTACTACTCTTGCTTGCTTTTGCCACAGTTGTTCTATTTCTATTTGTAGGTCTTTGTATTTTGTTATCTTCTTCAGTTCTTTCTCTTCTCTTCTGCTGTCTCCAGGCACTGCCATGACCATTATCCAGACTTTTTTGTCTTTTTTATCGACAATTGTTAACTCCAGGGTGTTATGTGGCAGGTGCTTGTCTGTTTGAATTCTAAAGTCCCAGAGCAATTTAACATTTTCATTTTCTATGACTTTCTCTATTTTATGGTCCACCAGTTCTTGCTTGCAGGCAAATTATATTTCTTGCAGATCTTCCAGTGCACTATTGTTGCTACTTTGTCACGCCACTGCTTATAGTCAGTCTGTGCGATCTTTTTTTTACAGCAACTTACCAGGTGGTCCGCTGTTTCTTCAGCTTCTTTGCATAGGTGGCACTTACTGTCTGTTGTTGTTATTGTTGTTATTATTATGTGGCTTAGGGTTACTGCCATGAACTGCAGCAACAAAAATCACTTGTAATCAAAGTTTTGGTGATGGTGTCATGGGGTGGGGCTGGACAGCCTAAGGTATTACATCCAATGACTACATGAAGGGGTAAAAAAAATCTAATAAGATTTGATGCCTTTCATTTCAGCCACTAAGCTGCAATAACCACCAAGATATGCAGGGAAGGCCTACGTACATACACACACACAAATCAACTAAAGATCAGTCACCTGCTTGGCATCAATGGACGCTATATCCCAATCAGTATGCCTAGAATTGCAATCCCATTTCTTCAGCAGAGAAAAATCTCGTTAAAAGTACTGGGATTTCCACTGTAATGTATATGCTTACTTAGCATGCCATCTGTCCGCAAAAAAGTTATTCAAAACGCTCACAGACGGCGCCCTCCCCCATCCTCAACAGGTGAAGGGACTTTTAAACAGTTTTGCTTCTAATTAAATGTCATCCACACCACAGCTCCAGAGTACTGTTTCGAAGTTCCGAAATACTGTTTCTCTTTTCCAGTCTGCAAAAGGCAAACGGGAAAACAAAACAAAACAAAACGGGGGGGGGGAGGGATGCTGCCACAAGAGTTACCTTCCACGGGTCCGACCTTTAAAATGAAAGAAAAGCGAGAATGAAGACCGAGTTCCGTTCAATCGAAACAGCGGAGCGCCAAGGAAATATTTTAGGACTACGGAGGGAAAAGTAGCAAAAGACTTGCCAGCCGGCACACGGGTCGAAACGCTCGCCTGTCAGAATTGTTTTGCATGCCGGGTGCAAGGAAGGGCTTAGCGCGCTCCCTCCAGCCTTTAGCAACGCGACAGGTACGGGGGTGACTAACCTGCCCTTGGCCGCTTGCGAGGTTCCCCTCCTCCCGCGTCTTTTTCAGGCGGAAGAACTTGGCTTTTCCCTGCGCGAAGGTCAAGTGGTCGGACGGTCACTCTTTCCCTCTCTCCGCGAGCGTCCCTTCCACTCTCCCCCCCTCTCTCCCCGTGTCCCCACGCCGCTTAAGCCGCGGCGGCCATTGGCTCTGGAGACAGGACCGGCAGGCAGCTATCGTTCCCACGTGATTCCAAGCCGAGGCAGGAGTGGAGCGAAGCGGGGCCACAACAACGCAGCTGTTAACGCGCGCTCAAGGAAAGGATCTGGCCCTGGATCGCCCGGTTGGACAAGCGGATCCGGGACATCTGTTGCTAATGAAGGGAAATTATTGATCCTGCAGTACCTTGGGGAGGGGGAAGGCGGTTGGATGTCCCACAAGTAGTTAGCCCCCCCCCCTCCAGTAAGCGTCCGTCTTTTACGAACCACCTGAAGTTTTTGATGCTTAACTCTGCTGTTGTTTCTGGCATTAGAATCCTTAGAATCTCATAGGCGAGAAAAATTATCCGGTCGTAGCGCATCTCTGCTGAGAAGCGCCAGTTCGTGGGGAAAGTCTGCATCGTTTTTAGATATACTTGGAAATAAGTCCCATTCGGATCAGTAGGGTAAAGAAGGGTTTACATAGGAGGAAAAATGAAGGAAGAATGTCACATATTCGACTCTGAGGTTAGAACCAGAGCCAGGTTGATGTAGGGGTCAGTCTAGAAACCAGGAGACTGTGAGTTCTAGTCGTGCTTTAGGCATGAAAGATTACTGGATGAATTTGCCTCCAGAAATTGTGGAACTGGAACAACTTGCTTCCAGAAGTTGTGAATACTCCAACACTGGAAGTTTTTAAAGGAGAGATTGGACAACCATTTGTCTGAAATGGTATAGGGTTTCCTGCTTAATCGGGGCTGGACTAGAAGACCTCCAAGGTCCCTTCCAGCTTCTATTCTATGCTATGCTATGCTATGCTATGCTATTCCATTCCATTCCATTCTAATTTGGGACAGTCACCCTCTCTCAGCCCATCTCACAGGGTTGGTGTGGAGAAAATGGGGAGGGGTTCAGGTAGTTCTCAACTACAACAGTTTGCTTAGTGACCATCCAGAGTTACAACAGCATTGAAAAAAGTGACTTATGACCATTTTTCATACTTATGACCATTGTAGCATCCCCATAGTCATGTGATTTATATTCGGAAGCTTGGCAACTAACTCACATTTATGACGGTGGCAGTGTCCCATGGTCATGTGATCCCCTTTTGCAACCTTCTGACGAGCAAAATCAATGGGGGAAATCAGATTCACTTAACAACCATGTTAGCAATTTAACAACCGCAGTGATTCACTTAACAACGGTGGCAAGAAAGGTTGCAAAATGGGGCAAAACTTGCTTAATTTTCTCACTTAGCAGCATAAATTTTGGGCAATGTGGTTGTAAGTTGAGGTCTACCTGTATTAGGGTATGTTTGCTGCCTTGAGTTATTTATGAAAATAATAAAGGAAAGATTAAAAAAAATCTTAAAAAAAGAACCCTTATTCAACTTATTTCCTATTTCCCACCCCATAATGTCTAGGGATGACAGGCTACAATTCCCATTGCTCCACCTAACATTACAGGTTGTTCTTGACTTAACAACCACAATTGGGACCAGAATACCCTTTCCTAAGTGATGTGGTCATAAAGTGAGTTGTGAGTTTTTTGCCATGGTCATTAAGCAAATCCAGCTTCTCCCATTGACTCTGCTTGTCAGAAGTCCACTGGGGAGGCTGCAGATGGGCAATCATGTATTCACAATTGGGCAAAGACTGGTCACTTTTTTCAGTGCCATCATAACTTTGAACGGTCGCTAAACGAACAGTCATTAGTCCACAACTACTTTATCCAAATGAAAGATCTCCATAGTAGTCTGAAAATTGCTGTGGTTTTCTTTCACTACCGTAAAGTGAGAGGAGAAACTGAAGTGAACAGAGTTGCATTTTCTTTAGAATGGGGCATTGCGTATATTGCTGAACTGTCTCCAACAATAACCATTAATGTTGGTCAGGCGTTTCCCTTGCTTGCATCATGTTGCATCCCATTCATATTTCAGCATAAGCCACAGCTAAAATACATTTTCAAATAACTGTGCTTTACAATTTTGCACTTGTGTGTTTAGTTAAACACAATGAACTCAGTAGAATTAATCCAAAGTGTATTTAATCCCCTGAACCATGATTATTCAGAAATCACTTTCTTGAGTTCAGTGAAATTATTCTTTTTCCCAAGTAGTTTGGCTGCAAGTAATTTCAGCCTTAAAAGTTCAGAAATTCTCAGAAAAACTATAAATGAAAATTATGGGCAGGATTCCAAAGAGCCTTATTCTCCATTTTTAGCATTCTTGCCTTCCCTGTTTTTCTTCTATATTTTATTCCCCTGGGGCCCATTTCCATATTTTTTTCTTCCAACATTCCATTGGAAAAAAGAAAAATATGTATTTTGACTGGGAAGAGCTGTCTGGAATATCCAAAATCTAATAACCTGCTGCTCTCTATTTCCGTGACATTAATGAGATTATATGGGAAAAAAAACTAGCATATGTCTATTCACTTAAAGAGCATATTTCATTATTATAGTAGTAGTTATACTGACTTAGAAAAGTGTATAAGGGCATAAGAGAAGCTGCCAGTTTTCTGTTCCGCTGTAAATCTTTCCATTTCCAGATGGTCTTAAACATCTCAGCTGCTGAAATCTTTAGAATATCTGTTTCAGAGGGGTTTATTTATTGCTCTTATAATTACTGTCTAAGCATTTGGGAGCCAATCACTCTCTCTCATCCTAACTCACCTCACAGGATTGTTGCGGGGAAAATGGGAGGAGGAAGGAGGTATCTTTGTGGCCTAGAGTTATTTATAAAAATAATAATAATAATAAAAATGGATTAACAAATAAAGATTAAAAAATAAATTAAAAATGAATGGCAAAATTCACCAAGAGTCAGCCAGCTGAGTTGATAACTTTATCCCAGTTGTTCCACAGGGGAATGAAGAAAATAACTTGAGAATTTCCATGATTCAACACGTTGAAAATTAATTAGGATGCCCCACAGAACTGCCAGAACTGCCCTGGTCAGGAATTTGATATATGGTAGATCTCAGTTTCTCCCTGTTCTATTCATTTCCTGTTATATCTTTGCCAGAAGGGTATTTCCCTTAAAAAAAAAAAAATCCTTTTGTAAGCAAATTTTTGAGGTCAACATTGCTTAGCTGAAGAAAAGTACTTTTTGCTGACTAAATGGGATATCTGTTACAAAAAAGAGACTCATTGCTTCATTATAATCTCCCTGCAACCAGTACATGTATTAGTTAGGATGGTGCTATTAAACTGCAATACTATGCATATTTTCTTGGGAATACGTCCCCCTTCCCATTGGTGAGAGATACTGTTCCCACAAGGTATCCAGGAATTGCCTCTTCTATGGATACTTTCCTTGGATGTTTCAGATTCTATACCACCTTTCAGGTGACTTCCAGGAATGCTTCTGGGCTCCATATGGGTCCAGTCTATCTGAAGAATCATCTCACACCAATGGGATTGGCCCGTCCCACCCACCTGGCACTGTGACCCTGCTACGGTCAAGGTACTGCAAGACCTGACATTGACCGGCATATGGCTCTGGGATAGGAATTAAAAATCTGAGACTTTCACAGTGGGGAAAAGTTTTGAAGCTACATGAAGTTTCCACTCATCCCTTCCTGGTTCAGCAAGCAAGAGGAAAAACAAGCAGGCTAGCTCGGAATGAGCTCTAAATTTTTATTGTTTTCTTAATATGAAGGGAAAAATCAAAATATGTTACTAAACTCCTTGAAATGAGAGTGGTCTTCCTAACTGCCATTACGGACACATAGATCTACCTGGTAAAACTGTGCCATACTTTCCTGTGAATAGAGAAGGGGATGGGGCTTTAAGAGGTGGGTTTCAGGAAGAAGGAGGGCCTTTTAGTTAATTTTCATAAGGATGCAACTGGAACCAGAGTTTCTCCTTCTGTTAAGACATAAAACCAAACACAATGTGTCTCATTTAAAACCAGGTTGTTCAACCTTGCCAACTTTCAGACTTCTGGACTTCCAACTCCCAGAATTCCCCAGCCATAAGTTGTCAAAGTTGGACGCCTTCGGTTTAAACAATATAAAAACCTTCACTGAAAATGGAAGGATATAATTTTTGCCTCCTCCTGATCATAACACAGAACAAGACAAAAGAAAGAGTGCACAAACGCAAGACTTAATTTCATTTAGCATTGTGATTTTCTGTTACAGCTAAACAAAGCCAGTGGTTGTAAATTCTTTTGTGTATCAGAATATAGACACAATACAGTCCCTGACCATAAAAAAATGGATTCCAAACCAAAGGCGCATGGTAGGAATCATTCTTTTGATAATTGAACATTTTTGAGATGATGGGAGTAGGCATTATCAGTAAGCTAAAAAAATTTTTTTTAAAACAAACGAAGTTTTTTGGTTTTCTTTTAAATTAATAAATCTGTCTACCCAGATAGTTCTTGAATTTTCTTATGCCAAGAATGTCAACATAGAAAGGAGACAATGAGCATTGATGGTAGAGGGACTGACAATCTTAGCTTAACATGTTTATAAGGCATTTTCACAAATGTCTGGATTTAAATCATTGGGCCAGTACAGGGGTAGTCAACCTTGGCTCTTTTATGACTCGTGGACTTCAATTCCCAGAATTCCTGAGCCAGCTTAGCTGGCTCAGGAATTCTGGGAGTTGAAGTCCACGAGTCATAAAAGAGCCAAGGTTGACTACCCCTGGGCCAGTACATACCAAGCTTTGTGAAAAAAAAATATTAAGGGCTGCAGATCACAGAAGTCTTGGGGCCAGATTCCAAATGTGGTCTAATGGATGGAGAGTAATGTCTCCTAAACTCCAAAGCAACATAAAAACAAGATCAAGTTGATTTTTTTTTCAATCCTCGCTACATTTTGGAGGGATTGGGGTCAGGAAGAAATCTGGAAATCTTCAAAAAAGCATGCTGCTTTTGCGATGGTGGCAAATATCTTGGATGCTGCTTTGCTGTAGCTTTTGTCTATCTTGACATCCAGGCATGGAAAATTTTTCTTTGGCTAAAGAGAATAACAGAATAATAACAGAAAAACGATGACAATCTAAGAGTACTTGCAATAAAATGTG